GAGAGAGAGGAGAGAGAGAGAGAGAGAGAGAGAGAGATCGATTTATTGTTCCACTTATTGATACATTCATTGGTTGATCCTTATATGTGCCCTGACCGAGTACTGGACCCAAAATCTTGACCTATTGACGACACTCTAACAATTGAGCTACCCACAGGGTAAGGGTATGATTTTAGAAGATCCTCTTCATCTACTTTTATTTGTCTGAGGGTAGATAAGACACTGGATAACAATCTTTCTAGAATGGTACATAAATAACTGACAGCTTGAGCAGTTTTAGAGTAAAAGACAGCTTTTGGTGGGGGGGCTTTTGAGGAGATATCTTACAGTTTTTTCTATTTCTTGTTTTTAATCTCTACCTTAAACTTAAGCATGCAGACAAATCACCTGGAGAGAAATGTCATTTCTAACAAACTTCTGATACTGCACAGCTGCAGTCCAGTGATCAGACAGGAACAGTGTTAGAATACAACAGTTATTACTAACTCAATCTCCATAAATTGTGCTTACCTCTTTTTCTTTTCTGAGGAAACTGTCCTTTAACTAATTTGAGAGTTGCTGGAGGGGTTGAAGCCCTATTTGCTCTAGCAGGAGTTCTTTTGGGGAAGGGACAGCACAAGTTCACTCTTTTACTCTGCACCACAGGTGGCATGCTGGCCTTCCTCTTTGGCTGAACTCTCAGATTTGATGCTGAATTTAATGGAACTATATTTCTCTTCCTAGCTTTAAACATTTCTTCAGAATTCTTTTTTGTTTCAGTTTCTCTTCTTACTTCTGCTTCTGAGTCAAGAAATTCAGGATCTGGAGTCATAACTAAAGAAAATCCAGCATCACAAATTCCATCTGAAATACAAGGAGACTGTGAACGCTCTGCCAATAAATCTAACGCTGTAGATACTTCCAAAATGTACCCACTAGGATCTGAAAAATAAGTCTTCAACTGAGTTAAAGACTGTACAGGGCACTTTTCAGCTGGAGGAACCAAGTCAAAACCATTGGACATTTTGCCAAAGAATGCAGTCTCTTTTACTCCATCCTGAGAAGAAGTTGTCAATGGATTTCTCTCCATCTTGTACAATTCTTGGAAATTACGCTTTACTAATGTATTTAGACAGATTCCTTCTTCAGTAAATGATTTCCTTGCTTCTAGCAGTGCACAATTAAGGGCAGGTAAAATAGGTATCACCTTCAATGAGATGTCATCTTCAACTTTCAAGTCTTTCAGCCCTAAAATATATGTATATACATTAAAAACCTAAAATTATTAGTCTTTATTTTACAAAAACATGCAGAAAAAAATGCTTACAAAATTATGGGATGGTTAAATATAACACAGTGCTCTCAACAGAAATCTAAACGGAAATTAAAAGACTATGGGTACATTTAATGAATACATTTATCTCCATATATATGTAAATCACATGAGAGAGGAGAGTGGGAATAAGAACTGGAAAAGAATCACTCAAATGCAATCACCAGGTTAGAATGAGGAAGGCTGACCTGCCTCTAGCTCCATCTTATCTGATGAGGAGCTCAGCATGAGCTCAATGTATCATCAAAGCAACAGCAGTGATATTTAGAGTTGGCAGGTTTGCTTTTCTATTTTTCAATGAACATTTTCTGCTTTTAAGTGTCTTATTTTATCTCTACCTTATATAATTCACTTCAAAATTTTTTAAATGTATTGATTTTTAGAGAGAAAGAGAGAAACACTGAGTTGTTGTTTCACTTATTTATGCATTCACTGGTTAATTCTTTATGTGTCCTGAGTGGGGATCGAACTCAAAACCTTGGTATATTGGGATGACGTTCCAACCAACTGAGCTACTCAGCCCAGGCTGTTTAAATTCGTTTAAGTTACAATGCTAACCAAGTGAACTGAAAAAAGTAAAACCCTTAAGTAAACCCCAAATTCCATCACTCTATCAAGTAAAATTTTTTTAAAAATTAAGTAATTAAACCAAGTAGTCTGTGTTTCACTTTCTCTCCTTAGCTAAAGGAGATATTAGAAAAAAGAATAGAAAGATAAATAAAAATAAACAAAAAATGTGGGTAGAAATTAAAAATTTCTTTCTTTACAGCTTATTAACTAAAAAGTAACAAGTGAAGAAAAAAGGTTTTTATGTACTGCTAACAGTTCACACTAAAGTAGTATTCTTCCAGAAAATTTCATTATTTCAAGAATTTAGAAAGACAGAACCCAGAATGATCTGTAATAGACTATTATAAAATCTATGAAAAAGAACATTTTAAATCTGCTAAGCAAAGTATCTATCATTTAAAACAGATAACCATAGCTAGGACCCTGATAGAAAATGACCATTCATAGAAAATGTCTTAATGAACTAGAGGAGGAGGTGTACACTATAACACAACACTGCAAAATCTATTTAAACAAATCCTGTGCTGTTCAACACTGAATGGTACAGGCACTAATGTTTCCTATTTATTTCATAATAAAATGAAGTCAGAGCTCTGAGAGAAGGAGGCAGTATGGGATAAGAGTTGGAAGCCAGGTAGAGAGTTAGTTGTTTGACCGTGGGCAAGCTTAAGTCTCAGTTTCCTCATCTTTGAAATAATAATATCTATTTTAAGGGCTGCTAAGTTAGTAACTGTATACTTACCATAATACCTAACATAGTAGATGCTTAAAAAATGCAAACAGCATTATGTTGTTATAACAGGTAATGTTTTGCTTTAGTACAAAGAAGTGATGCCCAAGACAGTGCATTTCTCTGCTTTGGGTAACTGAATACGTAAAATGTTAAGAAATCAACTTTAGGAGAGAATCAAGATGGCGGCATAGGTAAACACCTGTACTTGCTGCCTCCCACAACCACATCAAAATTACAACTAAAATATAAAACAACTATCATCCAGAACCACAGGAAAGCTGGCTGAGTGGAAGTACTACAACTAGAGAAATAAAGAAGAAAGTGTATTGAGACTGGTAGAAGGTGAAGAGGCTGGCACCTGGGTGTGTCGCTTTTTTAATTGGGAGAGAGATACAAGCTCCCACTTGTTCTGGGGGGACCCAGACACATACGGGAGAAACTAGACTGTCTGGCATCGGGGCAGGAACTCGGGGGCGGCTTTCTTCCAGACAGAGGTGCTCGCAACGGTCATTGTTCCTGTGCTGGGACCTCCCCGGTGCAGGGCTGACTGGCAGCCACTGCTGTTTGCTCTGCCCTGGTGATTCCCTGAGACCCTGCCCCACCCAATTTACAACCTCAACCAAGCTGTGTACAGCGGCTTTTGCATATGAATGGCCTGTCCTTTCTCAGTCTAAGACCTGTCAAACAACCTACAGCTGGGTCAGGGAGCCCCAAAGCTATCAAAAAAAGGCCCAAAGCCTGCACCAGCAGCACCCTGCCTTACTTCATAGCTGGGCCTCAACTGGGCCCTCTTTGTATTGGGTTTAACAATACAAAGAGGAGGAATCTGCAGCTCTCTCTGTAGCTCCTGCTGGGTGGCCTCAGGCAGTGGCTGACTTTGCATCTCCTTGGTGATCCAAGAGTCAGTGTACCCAGGGGTCAGTGCTAGACTATACCAGATTACAACTCTTCACACCCATAAATGACACACTCAAGGGGCAGACTCAGTGAGCACTAAAGCCCCACTGAAGCAAGTCCTGCCCCTTATAAGGGTGTCTTCTGTACAGCAGCTCTTCCACTGTAGACACAGCTGGTCCTCATAGCCAATTGACGTGGAGGTCAATTCCTCCCAGTAATACCAACAGCAATCAAGGCTCAACTATAACAAGACTGTGCACACAGCCTACAAAGGGGTGCACCAAGAGTGTCCACCTCAGGTGATTGCGGAGGCTGGGCCACTGGGCCCTATAGGACACCTACTACACAAGGCCACTCTATCAACTCAAGGAGACTTAGCAGCTACCCAATACATAGAAACAAACACAGGGAAGCAGCTAAAATGCAGAGACAAAGAAACATGTCACAAATGAAAGAAATGGAAGAAAGCAAACTATTGGATATAGAGTTCAAAACCACAGTTATAAGGTTACTCAAGAATTTTCTATAAACCTCTGAGAAACTTAGTGAGACCTTCAAGGGTCTTAGTGAGAATGCCAAAAAAATGGAAAAGGACTAGTCGGAAATTAATCATACACTGACTGAAATAAAGAATAATATACAGGGGATTCAATAGTAGATTAGAGAATCCAGAGAATCAAATCAATGATTTGAAATACAAGGAAGCCAAAAACACCCATCCAGAAGAGCAAAAGAATCCAAAAATATGAAGATAGTGTAAGGAGCCTCTGGGACAACTTCAAG